AGTTTCATCAAAAAACCAAAATACTTTAGAATGAATTTACAAAGATGTGCAAGATCTCTACATGAAAATTTGCTAAGTCTGAAATAAACTGAGGGCTATACCTCATTCATGAATTAAGATGTCAGTTCTCCCTAAAATAGATTGGACGCAATCCTAATCAAGATCTCACAGGGTTTTTTTCTGATGAAATTAACAGGCTGATTCTACAACTTTTATGGAAATGGTAAGATGCTAGAATACCCAAAGAAAATCTTGATAAAGAAGAGCGAAGTCGGAGGACTCACACTTCCTGACTTCAAGACCGATTATAAAGCTACAAGTAATCTAAATACTGTGGTATTCTTATAAGGATGGACAAATAATGAGCAGGATACAGATTCCTATGATAAATTCACTTTTGTCTTTTCAGCAAATGACACTCAAATAACCGTATAGCCACACGGACAAAATATACCTCGACTCTTTTACCTCACGCCATACAGAAACAGACTTAAGATAAATCATTGACCCACGTACAAAAGCTAAAACTATAAAATTTCTACAGGAAAAAAACCCATAAAACTTACGCAACCTTAAGGGAGGTGATGATTTCTTATTACCCAAAGAGATCCAAACATAAATGAAATGATTGATAAATTGGGCTTCACCAAAATTAAAAACATAAACATCAGAAAACATCTTTAAGAAGAGAATTAGGCAATCCAGAGACTTGTCGAAAATATTTCCAAGATACATATCTGAGAAAGAACTAGTATCCTGGATCTATATAAAGAATCCCTGCAGTTCAGTAGTAAAAAAGAGAAACAAATCTTTTAATGCATATTCAACAGAGATTTTACAATATTTCAAAAGATAAAAAAGCAGATATACGAATGTCCAACAAGCACATTAGTCATCAGGGAAATGCAAATTAAACTACAATGAGATACGACAACACATCCACCAGTATGTTTAACATTAAAATGACTGATACTGCCAAATGTTCACAAGGATGTGGGACATCCAAGACTTGTATCTTGTTGGTTGGTTCAGCTACTTTGGAAAAATGTTAGGCAGCTTCTTATAAAATTAAATACACACCATTCCTATGACCCAGCAATTCCACACCTAGGTATTTACCCAAGAGGTATGAAAACATATATCTGCAAATACTTGTGCGAGAATGTTCCTAACAGTTTTATTATTTATGATGGCAAACATTTTTAACAGCCCTGGTTTCTATCAATAAGAAGAGAATGAATATTCAAACAATAAAAAAGTAGCAATGAAAGAACAGATTACTAAGGCATATAACATGGATAGATCTCAGAAATACAGTGCTTTACACAAAAGAATACATAACTGTATGATTCCATTTATATGAAGATCTAGAACTAAGCAAGACTGAGTTCTACAAAGTGAAAACAAGTTGATGGTGGAAAAATCCAGAACGGTGATTTCCTCTGTAGGAATGTGGGTAGGGATTTGCTGGGAAGGGACATACAATATTTGGTTGAGAGGCTGCATAGGTAGGTGTTTAATTTGCAAGAGTGTACGCATTTGCGAGACCTCATTTAATGGTACACTTAAGATGTGTGCATTTCATAGTATGTAAATTTTATCCCCCCCCCCCCCCCAAAATCTGGAAGTAAATAGGGTTGTGTTGAACTCTAGGTAGTAATATGCAGGGAGAAGTTGGGGGTGGGGTGAGGAGGGGGCGTGTATTGATGTCTACAACTTACTTCGAAATGAATCCAAACAAGATGGGTTGGTGGATGGAAAGAGGGATGGATAGATACGTAATAAAGCAAGTATAGTAAAATGTTCGTTGAGAATAAGGCTATTCACTGTAAAATTCTTTCAACTTTGTTTGAAAATTTTCACAATAAAATGGGATGGGGGAGTAATTGCAGGACTCACCCAGTGTGTATACACATGCTCCTCCTGTAAGCGCTGCCACCTAAAACTCTTGCCCTCGATAGGCTAGATAAAAGAGGGGTATCCGGGGGTGGGTAACGGGAGAGGAGTGGGAGAGGAATCCTAGCAGCATCAGGGCTTCTTATGGCAGATGTATTGGAACCCGGAAGTGTGTTTTTTTAATTCTCTGCTCTTGGGGAGTATAGATGGGTGGCCTCTGAGCCTGGGGTCACTCTCTCGGGAGGCGAAGAAATTCTCCTTAGTTAGAAGATGCCCATGCATCTTTCCCTCTTGTATTCATATTCACTCCCAAATGCTAGGGGCTGGTGATTCCGAAGGGGCAGTGTGTGGCTGGGTACGCAGGTGGGGGCGAGATGTGTCTGAAGGGGACGGAGCGCCCTCTTCTGGCCCTGGAGGGGCCCACACAGGCCCGCTAAGCACCTGACATGACCCTCCTCTTGAGCACCCACTCCCGGGATCTGCGCGTCCGGGATGGGAGCGCCGCAGCCCCCGGGTGGCCCAGCAGGGAGCCGGGCATCAGCAGGCGGAGACTAGTGTTGGGGGCGGCTCCGCACGGCCGGGAGGCGGAGGACGGGGTGGAGTCGCCACCGCTGCTGCCAGCCGAGCGGCTCCACCTGTTGCAGCGTCGGAGCGCGCGGACCAGGCAAGGCAGAGCGCGGCGTGAACCTCTGCTCCCCGCGCAGAGGGACCCGGAGGACAGTCCTGACAGAGCGGCGCGGAGGGGGCACTCCCCGGTGAGTGAGACTCGAGCGCGGCGCCGGCGCCCCTTGAAAGGCGGGGTCTCGGGGAGGGGCTCTGGCGGTTTGCTATTGAGCCTGTGGCTAGGGTCGGGTAAAGCACTCTCAGCTGAGCCCTGTCGGCGCAGGATCTCTGGAGCCCACGAGGCGGCCAAGCCGGGGTGCGGGAGATGGAACTCTCCGGGGTCACTTCCTCCTGCCCGCGGGCTCCTCCAGTCCCCGGTCCTTGGCAGCCTCCCCAGGAGCTGGGGCTGGCTAGCGGCGCGCGCTTCGAGCGGGCGGATCCGACACGTGGGGGTGGAAAACGCCCCCGCGCGGGATCCAGAAGCCAAGGGCGTCTGGTCGGGCAAGGCTAGGAAGGCTGCCTGGGGGAGAGGCCCCTAACTTCCTTCGCTCCGTCACTCCAACCTCCCTTTCTGGTCTCCTCCTCCAGCAAGTCGGCCCGCCGGACGCTGCGCAGCGTCGGGGGCGGGCGGGAGGTCGGAACCCGTGAGCCGCGCTCTGCGCAATCCCTCTGTCCGTGCGCCCGCCCGGGACCTGCTGCAGCCTCTATGCGCCGGCAGCCGGGCCGGTGACCCGAGAGGCCCGAGGCTCCGCGCGACGCCGAGCCTGGGACACAGCACTGCGGCTTCATCTGGGGAGGCACTTCCAGCACTAGCAGACTGAGAGCCCGCGTCCTAGACGTCGGCGGCTTGAGAAGCGACGGTCAAGGAGACGGAGACTGCGGGGCTCCGCTCACCCGTCAGCCTCCGAGGCCCCCAGACCTTTGCTTTCGGGGAAGGTCAAGCCCACCCGAGTTTGCCCTGAAGATGCGCCACGCCCCCTCCCCAATCTGAGCCGGGCAGGACACCAGGGGGAAGCAGCGGCCGCATCCTCGTGCCAAGCAGAAGCGGACTCTGTGCCGGGTCACTCAGTTCTTCAGCTTTTAAGAGAACTCCTAGCGGGGCGGGGACGGCGGCGAAAATGCGGATTTGAAACCGGGAGTCGAGGCGGACGTGGGGGGCTGGCGCTGCAGGAGCGGTCGACGCGGCGGCCCGCGGACCAGGCAAGGCAGAGCGCGGCGTGAACCTCTGCTCCCCGCGCAGAGGGACCCGGAGGACAGTCCTGACAGAGCGGCGCGGAGGGGGCACTCCCCGGTGAGTGAGACTCGAGCGCGGCGCCGGCGCCCCTTGAAAGGCGGGGTCTCGGGGAGGGGCTCTGGCGGTTTGCTATTGAGCCTGTGGCTAGGGTCGGGTAAAGCACTCTCAGCTGAGCCCTGTCGGCGCAGGATCTCTGGAGCCCACGAGGCGGCCAAGCCGGGGTGCGGGAGATGGAACTCTCCGGGGTCACTTCCTCCTGCCCGCGGGCTCCTCCAGTCCCCGGTCCTTGGCAGCCTCCCCAGGAGCTGGGGCTGGCTAGCGGCGCGCGCTTCGAGCGGGCGGATCCGACACGTGGGGGTGGAAAACGCCCCCGCGCGGGATCCAGAAGCCAAGGGCGTCTGGTCGGGCAAGGCTAGGAAGGCTGCCTGGGGGAGAGGCCCCTAACTTCCTTCGCTCCGTCACTCCAACCTCCCTTTCTGGTCTCCTCCTCCAGCAAGTCGGCCCGCCGGACGCTGCGCAGCGTCGGGGGCGGGCGGGAGGTCGGAACCCGTGAGCCGCGCTCTGCGCAATCCCTCTGTCCGTGCGCCCGCCCGGGACCTGCTGCAGCCTCTATGCGCCGGCAGCCGGGCCGGTGACCCGAGAGGCCCGAGGCTCCGCGCGACGCCGAGCCTGGGACACAGCACTGCGGCTTCATCTGGGGAGGCACTTCCAGCACTAGCAGACTGAGAGCCCGCGTCCTAGACGTCGGCGGCTTGAGAAGCGACGGTCAAGGAGACGGAGACTGCGGGGCTCCGCTCACCCGTCAGCCTCCGAGGCCCCCAGACCTTTGCTTTCGGGGAAGGTCAAGCCCACCCGAGTTTGCCCTGAAGATGCGCCACGCCCCCTCCCCAATCTGAGCCGGGCAGGACACCAGGGGGAAGCAGCGGCCGCATCCTCGTGCCAAGCAGAAGCGGACTCTGTGCCGGGTCACTCAGTTCTTCAGCTTTTAAGAGAACTCCTAGCGGGGCGGGGACGGCGGCGAAAATGCGGATTTGAAACCGGGAGTCGAGGCGGACGTGGGGGGCTGGCGCTGCAGGAGCGGTCGACGCGGCGGCCCCGGGAGCCGCGTGGCCTGGAGGAGCGTCCGGCGGTCATGGACGAGCTGGCTGTCGCGCGGCCAGGGGCAGACTGAGCGCCGGGCCGAGAACCCACCTCCCGGGGCGCCCGGGCGACAGTCAGCCTGCGGCCACGGCCGCCCGGCTTGGGGCTGCCCCCCGGGGGTTTGGCCATGGCCGGCCGGGGTTGCGGCTGCAGCTGCGGCCCGGGCCACCTGAACGAGGACAACGCGCGCTTCCTGCTGCTCGCCGCGCTCATCGTGCTCTACCTGCTGGGCGGCGCCGCCGTCTTCTCGGCGCTGGAGCTGGCGCACGAACGCCAGGCCAAGCAGCGCTGGGAGGAGCGCCTGGCCAACTTCAGCCGCCGCCACAACCTGAGCCGCGACGAGCTGCGCGGCTTCCTTCGCCACTACGAGGAGGCCACCGAGGCCGGCATCCGCGTGGACAATGTTCGCCAGCGCTGGGACTTCACCGGCGCCTTCTACTTCGTGGGCACCGTCGTGTCCACCATAGGTAAGTGGGCCCTGCGGGAGGGCGGAGAGGCGGCCATCCTCGCAGGCGTTTTTCTGGCCCGGCGCTTCGAAGGGCGGGACCGCGCTTCCCAGCCCTGCATTCATCCACCTCCGCGCTCGGCCAGGTGGCACCGATGTGAGCTGTTGCCTGATCCACAGGTGGTATTGCCTCCCTGCTTCTTTAAGTGAGGTCCACGGAGCAGCTGCGTCAGCATCACTTGGGAGCTTGTTATAAATGCAGTCTCAGCCCCTCCCCAGACCACTTGAGTCAGAATCTGCGTGTTAAAATCTCTAGGGAATTTGAGTGATCCTTAAATTGGAGACGTTCTGCTCTGGGAGTGTTCCTAGTTAAGGAGACTGAGCTTGAATTCTTGGAACATTAGGGAGAAAGCTTACAGATCGGGACAGGAGCCTATAAACATTAATTGAGTTAGTACCATGCATGAGGCACTGGTCTGAGGGGGAGAAACAAATTTTAAAAAGACTGTCCATGGCTTAAAACTTAATGGAGAGAAAAAATAGATCGAAAACGAGTTTGGAAGTAAGGAGGCAAAAGTGCTAATGAGGATGGAAACTGTATTCTGCCAGGAGGAAGCAGGTGGGGGTGGGGAGAAGGGACCT